AATGTGTCTGAACATGGATCTCTAGTCTTGCTAAGACTTTGAGTGTGTGTATGTCTTTGTCTTGGTTTGTGCGAATAAGTGCAGGTACCTGTGGTGATCAGAAAAGGGTCTCTCAGAGCTGGAATTAGAGGTAGTTTTGAGGTGCTTGCTATGGGTGCTGGGAACTAACTCAGGTCCTCTGCAAGAGCAGTAGAGGTTTACTGAGCCATCTCTTTTGTCCCTGGACCTTTAGTTTCTTTCTCAGTGCCCAGCTGCCTCTAGAGTTGAGGCCAGACATTGAAAAGGTGGGAATAATAATGATGATATGGAACCAGCTTAATGTCCACCAACAGAGGAATGAATGAAGATAACGTAACACATATACACAATATAGCAGGTGGGGTCAATTCCACCGAGTGTCATGGCAGCCACAGGACTGGGAAGAACAGATGGGTATATGGGGACAGGTGAGGGGACAGAGGGTATATGGGGACTCTTTCCAAATGGAACCTTGATAAGTAGTGTCTTGACCTTCTTCCACTGTCTTGTAGTCCTTTCCAGGGGCTCCCAACTAGTCTTCGCCAGTACTTTTTGCCGACTGCTAAATTCCTTAGTGTGCTTACTATATCATCTTGCAGGCAGATGTCTCGAAACCTGAAAATACAAGTCCACACCATTCTAAAATCCAAATCCCTCCCCCTTGGTTCCTTTTCTGGTTTCAGATCCACCCCCCCCCCCACACACACACTGCTCAGTACCTCTCTACTCTCATGCTCTCCTTCCTCAGCACTCAGCTCTCAGCCTGCTGTGCTGCTGCCGTTTCACATTGAGAAATCTGGACGGCTGAGAGTCTATTAACATTCCCTAGTTCATTTTCCCTGAACTCCCTACAATGTAAACAGTACCTTCCAAAAAGATCTATTCTGCAATAGCACTAAATTCATACAAACACTGCAGAAATACATATAAGCATACACACTGTTCTTGTGTACCTGACATCAACCCTCCTTGCTCCCGTTTCCACACCTGAATCTTCCAATTTGTAAACAAGTTACAGACATCATGTCTCATATCAACATACACGTAGGTATTTACTTCCCAAGTATGGGGCACTTTTTGACATTACAATGGTAAAACGAGATTAGCCTTCATCTACCATTACTCACTACTACATGCTCCAAGTTATGTTGTTTTGATGATACCCTCCATTAGAGCGGGAACCAAATCCAAACCATGGACATGAGTCACATTTAGCTAGTGTCTACAAGCAGAAACAGCTTGACAGCTGTGGTGGTTTAAAAGAAAATGGCCCCCAAAAGGAGTTGCACTATTAGGAGGTGTGGCTTTGCTGGAGGAAGTGTGTCACTGTGGGGGTGGGCTTTGAGGTCTCCTTCCTTCAAGCTTTGTTCAGTGTGATACTCAGTCCACTTCCTGTTGCCTTTATATCAACATGCAACTCCCCACTACAATGACAAACTAAACCTCTGAAACTGTAAGTCGCCACCTCAATTACATGTTTTCCTTTATAAGAGTTGCCATGGTCACAGTATCTCTTCACAGCGATTGAAACCCTAAGACAACAGCCTTCCTCTGTCTTTCACAGGGATGATGGGATTCCTGAAAATCCCCAAACCACTTGTTTTATAGACTGTCTCTGGTTTGGGTTCTCTGGGTGTTTCTTCATGATGGACACCTTTATGCCAGGAAGATGCCACATTATTGACACTACTTTCTCCTGGTGCAAACTAGGAAACACAACTGCTGTGTTCCTGTTTCTTACTAGTCACAACATTCTGTCTTAGGCCAGTTTCTTCAACTCTAAGTAAATTGATAAACACACTATATTCACCAAATAATAAATAATTTTCAGGGTGATTCTTTAAGACTATGTAATTGCTCCTATTTATCACCAAACTCTAACTTTAATATCTGTTGACTGCTAAATTACTCTAGCAATTAAATGGGTGATTTTCCTAACTCCATCATTTCATTGGTTGGTTGGCATACTGCAGAACTGAATGGCCCCCTCCTGTTTATTTTTTCATTTATGGTCAGTGACTCTTGAACTATTATTTTACTCAGAGGATTGCAGATGATTACTACAGTCATTTAATATTCAAATTTCCTTGGACCTGGGACTCCTTTCAGCTACCCTGTGTCCTTCTGACATGCTCCCGCCATTTTCTAAGCATTTTCTAGTGCAACCCAAATGTCCAGTTTTCCCTGCTATTCTTTTCCGTATTCATTTCCGCTGCTCCATTTTGCCCTTTGCTCCAACTTCAATCACCACCTCTGAAATCTGTATTCATGTGGCTTCTAACCTGAGCTCAAATGTTTAAGACACAAGTAATTTCTATCTCAGATTTAATGTGCTGATAGTAACTGACATCTTTTGAATCAGGGTCCTGCCCTGCAGCCCATGTTGACCTCAAATTCATAAATCCTCCTGCCTCAGCCTAAGACAGTAGGTAAGATAGTAATTCCTTTTAAAAAAGTCTTTTCTTTCTACACACTGTCTTTTACACCCTTAAATGTGTTCATGGCAGTTATGGTGGTTTAAAAATAGATCTATAACTATAAGCTGCCATAATAATTATCCTGGAAAGATATGGTCACTGGTGCCATAGTGGCCCAAATGCTATAGGAATAACCAACTACTGTCTGATTGGATTTAAGTCCCAATCCATCAGACAGAACCCATACCTGCCATTATTAATGGGGTCAAGAACCTACGGCTAGATATATCACTGCCCCTAGAGGAAGAATCTACCATTATTCTGCTAAATGGACACAGCATTATATAAAGACTCCTAATGACTTAGTGCTATAGCCAAAAATCTGTGCATCTTCCCACCCTCATCAGAGAATCTACTTCCTGCAGCAGATGGCAATAAACAGGAGACCCACAGCTCCTGTGCTGTGAACAAGAGGATAGGGATTACTCATTCCTAAATGGCATACCTATATCACACCGTTCCCCACAAGGCTCAAGGATCTTCATGGAAGAGGGGGTAGAAAGATGTTAACAGTCATAATGGTGAATAGCTAAGAGGAAACGGCACTTTCCAGATACAACTGGGCAGATGAACATACAAACTATCACAGTGATTGTGACAGTATGCATTAGACCTACAAAAGCTCAAGCCAGACAAATCCCAGCATGGTTGAGTGGAGGTGGGAATGAAGTCCTACCCCTAAAACTATTATCGTGCTATTGACAACTGATAGCTGCTGGGAGAGGGAGTCAGTTGGTAGGTTGACCATGCTCCAGGGGAGGCCCCATAACCAAGAGTATCTGGATAACACACACTGGAGTTGATGGGTTTATAAACCAAAAACAAGCACAAAATCTAAAGTTGAATAGGTAGGGAGGTGGGTGGATCTAGGAAGAGTTGGGGGCGGGGAGTGAATATAATCAAATACTATGAAATTCTCAATTAATAAATACTGTTTAAATAAATAGGTTCACATAGTCTTTGGTTATTTCTCCCCTCACCGAGCTGACATTCGAGACTGTGGACTTAGTGACTTACTTCTAACCAGAACATGGCAGAAGTCAGTGCCTGACCTCTGAGACACCATCACGTTCTTGTCGCTCCTTTCTGAGGCTACTAATGCTGGCTGGGGTGTGCAGGTTGCTGTGCCATGAGGACATTTGGGCTGTGCTACACAGCAGTCCAGACAAAAAGGGCCCATGGCCTACTGCGACAACAGAAGAACCAAGGCCTTCTACCTACATATGTGTGTGAACCTTGGCTTGGAGGAAGTGGATGTCTCTAGTCAACAACATGATTGCAAGTACAGAAGAACCTTTGAGCTCGGGGCGGAGTGCTGAACTGCACCTGGACAGTCTGTCATTCAGGCACGTCACATTAGGTAACTAATACTCAGCACCACATCATCCACAGCCAGAGTCCAGGGAGTAGGGACAGCTAAAGCAACAGTGTGCTCTCTTCCCTCTCTAATCACACTTTAATTTTCTCCAGTGCAGAACACCACCATTCTCCCAGCAGTACGAATGCTTGTAGGTAAGCTGTACCCGATGGACAGTGCTGACTTGTTACCAACTTCAGATCCTACCTTACAATATTCAACTTTTTCCTAGTGCATTCTGTAGAATAATGCTGACAAAAAAGCCTTTTTTGGACACATACCTGATGACATTTTTTTTGTTAAACTTCACTATAGGTTTCCAAGTTGTGTGGGATAGGTTCCAATGTCTAAAGTAGGATTTGCTCAGTCATCTCCGTGTTCACAGCCTGGGCTCTGGCCACCTTTCACCTTTTCATATTCTACACCTTCCTTCTCTAACTCCTACCCATTAAAAAAAACAAAAATAACCAGCTGAAGTTTTATTTCAGAAACTCCTTCCTTAATTATCAAGACTTGGTTATGTGCTATGTCTTTTTTTCTTTTTCCTTTTTATAGTGGTAGGGGTGGCACTCAGGGTCTCAGGTATGCTAGGCAAGCTCTCTACCACTGAGCTATACACCCCCAGCTCAAGACAGCTTTCAAGATGACTTTTTATCAGGGCTCTCACCACACAAATTCCTCTACTAGAATGTACAACTACAAGGAAAAGAAAAATCTGATTTGAGACAGGGTCTCATGTAGCCATCTGTCCTTGATATCTATTCATTCCTGAATACAACACGTATCTACTGGTATTGTTATTTAATGGTAAACAAATATGCTTCTGTCCCGCCCCCCAGAACTTGCTGTCTACTGTCAAGTAAACAATATTGTGAGGTCTGAATGTGACAAGAGGACAATAGCGACCTAGTGACATTTCATGACACAAAGTTGTAGTCAAATTCTTGAACTTGTTTTCTAAGATGTTTACATAAGTTATACTTTCACACAAAAGAATATATGAGCCAGGTTTAGGTTCATAATATCCTAATATCTCCTTTTCTTCCTATGCATCTAGACAGAACCTTTGGTCACAGGCATGCTAGGTGAGTACTCTAATATTGAGGTATCCCCCAGCTTATATTAAAGAAAAAAACAACAACAATAAAAACGTTGCTACAGTTATTATCAATATCACTACCTTGCTTACAAATTCTTTATGCTAAAAATCAAGAACAAAAGACAACATCAAATATGTGTTTGTTAAGTACAGAGGAAAACCAGCTCTATGTGATCAGAACTGTTCCCAGGTTTGATAATTAAAAAGATGAGGCCAAGGCAGTCTTCAACATTCAGACTGTAGCAAACACTGTCTAGCTTTGGAAAAGAGCTAATTCCAAAGGGATCCCCTACCCCACATTCCCAGGCTGAATGCCAAATGAGTCAAAACTAAAATATTTCTGAGTATGTGCATAAGTGACAAAGTTTATGGAGGAAAGTTAAGTCTTTTAAAAGGAGAGTAGCAGGCTAAGGAAATGATACATTAAAATCCATACAGTAGCTGGACATGGCGGCACACATCTTTAATCCCAGCACTCAGGGGGCAGGGGCAGGTGATTTCTGTGTTATAGGACAGCCAGAGCTATGTACAGACTCTGTCTCAAACAAAACAAAACAACAAAACAAAAAATCCATATAGTAATATGTACTAATAATTTAGGCAACCAACTCCTCAGAAAAATCAATTCAAAACAAAACTTGATAGAAGATAAAAAATTTCAGCTTAAAATACTTTAGAGGATTTGAGTCTTTCTTTTCATTAAGAGAATTTTATTTTATGGGCATGAATGTTTTATCAAAATGTATGTATGTATACCACATACATGAAGTGCCCAAGGAGGCCAGAATAGGTCATCTGATCCTGTGGAACTGGAGTTATAGATGGTTGTGGGCAGCCATGTGATTGGGAATCAAATCTGGTCCTCTGCAATAGCCCTTTCTCTAGACCCTGATTTTTGGGTATAATTTCCATGGAACACACACAGACACACACATGCACACACTGCCCCAAAACAACATGAAAATTGCTTTTGGACTACAATTCTGAGATTGCAAACACATTTCTGATACCTTTAGTGTTTATTAAAAAATAGGTAACAAAAAGTGAACAGTTCTGTCCCCTCACATCCAAACTGGCCAACCCACTGCTGATGCTGCTTTCTGAATGAATCAGGATGAGAAAAATAAATAAGAAAATCCTAGGCTTAATGGCACCTTAGCCATGCCTGATGGAATGCTCCAGCTTTGTTCCCGGAATGCCTGCATGCTCATGTTGTCTTGGCTTTCGGCAGTGGTTCACCACACTCAGATGGAATTTTGCAAAGTTGTAGAGGCACTGTCACTAAAGCTGTCACACCACAGAATGCTAGTGTTTTATAAAACACATGTGTGCTTGCCTAGAAGAAAATATTCATTTGCCACTTTTCAGAAACAGGGATCTTCCTTGTTTTCACTTCTGGTGTCCACAATGGAATTTCAACAGGTTTTCGAACACATCAATAGTAGTGTTGATACTGACAAAAATGGGCCATGAAGAACGCACACAGCTATTTCTACAGTGGCCACGTTTAACCGTTTGGGCCAGTCTCATTAGACTAGCAATACAATCCAATTACTAACATAACACATGACACTTTCTAAAACACCAAGTGGGTTTCCTATCTGTGATCTTTAGAAAAGAGTACTATAAAAATATTTGTCTTTCTCCACGCAGAAGTGAGGAGGGACACTAACTTCTGCTGGCACTGCCCTTCCCACAGTCAGTAGGTTTCCAAGGCACTTTGTAAGAACTCCAGGATAGCAAGGGGAAACACTCTTTTTGCTAGCTGCTTTTTAGGGCCTGTTTCCCCTCAAAGTTCAATGTTAAACACTGGTACAAGTGGTTTTTCTGAAACTTCATTTTCCATGGTCCAGTCCTTAGGTTATTTTCCTTTTATTCTGAGCCACTCCTTCATTTTCATCTTGCTGAACAGGCAGGCAACTGCTTTTGGTTTCCATGGAAACTGGATTCCTGTGGCTACGGAGAGGCATTTTTGTCCCACCAACCTAAGAGATAAATCAAGAGCCAAACAACTTAATACATTCACAACATGCCTGCACACAAACAACCCTGCATCATTTACACAGAGACTCTCAATCTGGGAACTATCTTTTGTAAAGTTTTAAGTCCCAGCCACGTGGCTATTTAAGAATTTGAATCTGACCCAGTTTTAAAAGCATTAAACTTCTGGCAACAATGAGGACAGAAGCTGGAGCAGGGCTCAGCTGAAAACTGCTGTTACATTTACAAGATGCTGCAAGGGGGAATTAGAAAGTGAGGAAGACCAGACCTTTTGAGACAGTGTGCAATTCCGTGGTGAGCAGGAAGGAAGGAGAAAAGCAAGGACAGGGTGAGGACACATAAAGGGAGGACGGAGAGTAAGATGGACCAAGGCAGGAAGATCAGATGGTCAAAGAGAAGAGAGAAGAAGTCTAGAAAGGAAGAAATAAAAAAAGTGAAAGCAAAGAGGGGGAGAACGCAGAGGAGAAAGAGGAAACGGGGAAAGGAAGAGGAGGAGGAGATGGGCACAGCTGAGAGGAATGCCTGCTCCTCTCATGCCTGCTCCAACTTGTATCCAGCTCCCAGAATCTCAGAGCAAGGGGAAAGGACTGCTAATCAGAGCCCTGGCTGGAGAGACTTTGGAAATGCTGTCACCTTCCTGGCCACTAAAGACCTCACACAAGACCAAAGTTGTACAGCCTGCAACCATTTCCAAAAAGTGGCCTGTATCTGCCTTCAGTTCCCCTAGCCACCTCACTAAGGCGGTGTTTCTGTACATCCCATGCAGTCAATCCTGAAGATGGGAGGGTAAGGGGCGGTGGTGATTCAAACGCACTCTCTCAGTCCAGCCCAACAATTGAAGTGTCAGCACTGTGGTTCCCTAAGAATGTACCAGAATCTAGTGTCTTTACTTTCTCTTCTAGAGCTTTCAGGGTTGGTTTGTAAATTACATGGCTAGGATAGCGGCAAACCAGAGCTTTAGTCAGCGGGTCTGTTGGTCTCTGATGCTCATGTCTTAAATGACCTTACAGTGAGTGCTGATTCTCAGGCACCTGTCACTTCCCCACTCAGCTGGCGTTTTCCTGAAGGTATCCACTAACTGGGTTTTGAGAAAGGAAAACATTTTGAAAACTGTGAAAGTGTCCAGTAAATGCCTATTATGGAACCTATAGTGGTGAAGGGTAGCAGATGTTTGGTACAGTAGGAGGTGAAGCAGGGTCTACTGGAGTGTGCTGGAGTCAGGGTTCAGGGCTGCAGGCCCTGTCCAGGGATGAGCACTTGGTTCAAGAGCACTAGGGATGGAAGATCACACCAAGACAAGGCTACATCAGAGACGCAGACAGCTATTTCATACAGGTTCTGACTTCCCAGTTTTCAGAAAGCTCTGATCTTTCTGCATATCTGCTAAGCCTAGAACCTGACAGGTGCTGAGCTTGGTTGGAATTATTGAAGTCCTATTTCCATGGCCTAGCTAGGAAGGCAGGGAGGTGACACCAGGGTGGAGAACTGCACAGCATTCACAATCCTATCCAATGTGAACTACAACAAAAATCAACAATTAAAAACTCCTCAGCATTTGCAGGAAAAGCTATTTCTTAAAAGGGCTTTGGGACATTTACTGACTTAATTGGGCATAACAGAGAAAGGAAAAAAGAACAGAGTATCCAGGGAACACACACACACACACACACACACATGCATCTACGACAGACTAGCTGTGGCAGGAGGAGTTCTGCTGAGTTTCAAAACACACCAAGGCAACATTAGTTATCAAATGTCTATGTCCCCAGTGCTGGGCTATGCAACAGGCTGCTCCCAGATAAACCCAGAGCATCTGTCCCTGCACCAGACACTGTCCAGTGACACCCATGACTGAACTGTTAGAATGTATATTTATGTGTTCAAGTACTGAGTACACAGAATTTCTCCTTGTCTAAATGAATTTTCTTGTTATACTTCAGCACATTTAGACCACTCTACTGAAAAAGTTAAATCTTCCGAGTATTTCTAAGGCATAAACATTCAATGTTTGAAGTTAGTCTGACCGACAAAGTGTAACAGTGTCACTCAATTCTTTTAAAAACACCCTGCATACAAGGGTGGAGGAGCTTGGTCTTGCCTCAACTTGATATACCATGCTTTTTTTGACTCCCATGAGAGGCCTTATCCTTTCTAAGGAGTGGATGGGGGGAGGGGGTAGAAAGGAGGTGTGGGGGAACTGGAAGAGAGAAGGGAGGGGAAACTGTGGTTGGTATGTAAAATAAAAAATGTATTAAAAAATCCTGCATAAATATGTTTTCTTCAACTTAAAGTTGTTCAGGGACAAGGTATTAAACCATTCATTTTCACCAAAAAGGAATGAGACACCCCCATACAGAATTATATGTTATAGTTGACAGACTATAATTAGTGTTTCTAAATTAAAACTGTCCTCTTAGAATACAGATTTTCAAAAATATTTTCAATTATTTTTAAGTTACTTAAGACATTTCCTTAGATTATAAAAATCACTAAAGAGTATTTAGAAACTAAAAATAGTCACCAAAACTGGAGATAAATACAGTTACTTTCTCCATTTTTTCATTTTCTCAACTAGTTTGCCACATTTACACTTTCTCATTGAAGTCTACTAGGAATGGGTAAGGTGTTTCAGAGTGGAATGCCCGCTTAGCATGCACAAGGCCTGGCTTCAATCCCCACCACCAAAAAACTGACAAACAAATAGAACAGTTTTCTCAAATGGTGATATCAGGGTGAAGAACTGAACAGCATTACAATCCTAGCCAACGGGAACAAAAAATCAACATCAATAATTAAAGTCCTTGGCACTTGTAGGAAAAGCTATTTTCTGAAAAGGATTTGGGGACATTTACAGACTACTTGGGTGTGACAGAGAAGAAAGAAAAAAGAGAGTGCTCACAGGACACACACATGAATCTATAGGAGCTCCCAGGGAGCCGTACAGAGATCAAAGAACTCAGTGCTTTGACTCAAAGGTGTTGGCCACAGGGCAGGAAAATACATTGGACATTCAGGGTCGTTTGCAGACAGCAGAAGTCCTTCTACAACTAAGCTCAAACTGAAGCCGAGGACACGATCTGAAGAACGGGTGGCAGGGCAGAGACAGCAGAGAGAGCACCTGCAGCTGTGGCTTCAAATTCCAGGTTAAAAATGCTGCTCAGCCAGGTGTGGTACGCACACCTTCAACCCCAGCACTCGGGAGACAGAGGCAGGTGGATCTCTGCGAGTTCGAGGCCAGCCTGGTGTACAAAGCAAGTTCCAGGATAGCCAAAGCTACACAGAGAAACATGTCTTTAGGAACAAAAAAAAAAAAAGAAAGAAAAAATGCTCGTCAACTGACATTTCCAGAAGGGTTTTATAATAACATTAATAGTAATTCAAAAAACCCTAAGTTATAAAATACTCAGCATAATTCAACTTAGCTCTTGATATTTTACTGTATTTTTAATAAGCCACTTCACTCACTAATTACTAATACTTGCTTTTAAATATTTCATCATATTACTAACAATTTTTACTTATACAATAATTTTATTATATGGACTTTTTTGCAAATTGTCTCAATTGTTTAATGGAAGAGGATATACATAAATAAGAACTAAGAAAATACAAGTGTGCACTGGGCAGAAACCAAGGCACTGTACTTCATGGATGCTTCATGCACGTACACTTACAGCAAGATAGCACAGATTTCTTTAGCTGACTTATAAAACTTATAAGCAAGGAAGTCCTACATACAATATGGGCACAGGTTTTAGATGGTGAATGGTTACCGGGCAAATGCAGATATCTGTTGAAGGGAGTCAGAGAAACAGATTAGTAATCAATAACCAAATAGGATATTAATTGTAAAAAAGATCTTACCTTTGGTTGTGCTGCAGGGCGCAGTGATTTAGGCGGAAAAGTACAAGGTATTCGTCCATGATGGATGTGATATGGTAACAGGTAGCTGGGATCTAATGGAACCCAAGGAACCGAGAGACTGGAAGGTACACCAGGAAGGTCACAATGCGCCTTATGCAGATTATATGCTGTTCTAGTAACTTTTCCATCTGAGGTCTTGTAGATCAGGAGCGAAGAGTCTTCTGCTGCGTGAGATAGCAAGTAGGACCCATCCTGCAAGCTGCATCCAACACGGAGACTCAACTCACGGGCTTATAGTACCAATTTCACCATGTTCTTCCAACCCCACAGAGCAAGACTAAGCTACCACAGGCAGAGAATGCCACTTCTAAGGTATTTCAGAACCCGTAAAAGTAAAGATTTCAGAAGCCTTAAACTACTTTATAGCTTTCAGACAACCAATCTTAGCATTTTTATTCCAAAATTCAGAAATATGTGACCATTTTCTTTTGCTGTTTTATCCATTTGTAAAGTTAGTCATTTAATGGAAAAACAATCCATCTAACTCTCTAATCCATGATATACTCCAACCATATATTTCATCCCTTCAACACTGTACTTAGTTCCTATTAAGGAAGAGAATAGAGACACAAAAGTAAATGTGACATGTCCAGGACTCTAAAGTGTCAGAAACAGGTGAGGGACCATGTAGAAAAGATGTAGAAACAGCAGCAGGCTTATGTGTTTATAGTTAACTGCTGTTCTGCCCCACTACCCACCTTCATACTAAATCGTTCACACAGGGTTTCAAGCTTAACTCCAAACTGGGCATAAATAACCATGAGAGATACACTAGGCGATTTGTCCGCAGTTCTGTGCACAGTAGGGCTTCAATCAGACCTGGCTTTTTGGTTGCACACAGGTCAGAGCATCAATCACAATCTTCTATTAACACAATAATTGATGACGGCCAATCTGCTGCATTTTTCATTGTTTATTGGAAAGCTTCAAGGAATTCAATGTATCACCATAAAGAACAAAATTCACATAGGCAGTGGACTGTGTTTTCTTGGGAATACACAGCAAAGAGGCAAAGAGAACAGTTCTTTTCCACATTATTAAAATGAAGATAATCAGCTTTAGTTATATAGATCTGTCTACAAACATAATAAGCTACATTTAAAACTGAAAGTAACTGGTGTTGACAAAGGAGATCCAGAGAATTACTGGCTTCTAGGGAGGTTTTCCCCTCTCTTAATCATATAAGGAGGCAAATGACTATTTGGTAGAAAGAATAAATAACATTTCAAATATTGAGCTTCTAGTCAATGAAACTCATGTATCTTAGAAGATTGACAGTTTGAGGTTAGACTGGGTAATTACAGTAAGGCTGTGTGTGTGTGTGTGTGTGTGTGTGTGTGTGAGAGAGAGAGAGAGAGAGAGAGAGAGAGAGAGAGAAAGAGAGAGGGAGAGAGAGAGGGAGGGGGAAGGAGGGAGAGAGGGAAGAGAGAGAAAGGGAGAGAGAAGAACAAAAATACATTTGCAGTTTTATTATAGCTAGACACTATCATGTTATCTTTCACTCATATTTTTTGGAATTTTAACTCAGATAAAATGCTTGTACACTTCTAGTTTTTCCATCTATCTCTAACAGCATATTGGCAAAGTTTCTAATAACTTCCAGCAAAGCAAATAAAAACATCTATGCAAAATAAACCAAAGTACTTACCTACACAATTTCTTTAGAATGTGTTGGAGAATGTTAAATAAACTTGAAATCCTATTAAACAGAAGAAACTGATGTGAAATTAAACCGAAACAAACCTATAAAGCAAAGCCTCACTAATAAACGTGTGGTCTACTGCTCACAGCCAAAGGCAGCAGCAGGCAAATAATGCAGAACAAGGGCCAGCAAGTAGACTATGTTGGGGAGAGAGACTTAAATCCCTTCTTTTCATGTTCATGAAGTATTTGGCTCTGTGTTAGAGAAGTTATAATTATATAATTAAAAAATGCTCACACAGTATGAAACTATAGACCAGCTCTAATCAGCTGCTGAGAAACCTGACTTCATGCATGTGCAATGCAGAGAAGCACAGGGAGCGGGGCAGATTGCCAAAGGGGAAAGCACAAGTATTACTCTAGGTGCTTCCTTGGTGCCTCGTTTACATAGAAACCTATTCCCATTATTATGTCTCTTTAAAAAAGACTTTCATGAGAGAAGTGAAGCAAAGGGTTAGGTAGTCATGTCATGACTTTTCTATGCACACATATAAGGCGGTTCTTACAGAGTGGACCCTAGTGTAAGCACAGTTCAAGTCCGACTGTTCCCTCACAGAGCTGCGCCAAGTGGAGCTTTGCAGCTAACAGTGGTGACTTTAGCACATTAACTATCAAGGTTGTGCTCCCAGCTCAGCCTGTGAGCACTCTCAGTCCCAGCTTCTTTGTCTATGAAATGGCCATGATGCTACCACAAGCCTTTCATGCCAAGTTGTGTGATGAAATGAGAAACTCTACACAAGCTATTTTCCCTCACAACGAGGCACTCAGGGTTCTGAGGACCCAGTCAGTCACATAATCTGGATGCCTGAAAGTTTGTGGCTGTCTCATCCTTGTCTCATCTACGCAGGGCTAAAATGTTTGCTTTCCTGCACTTTAACACAACACTCTCTGGCTCTAGCCTCCTTTGTCTGAAGTGGGAGGACAAGTATTAGCAGTACATTTCTTTGCAGATGGAGACAAATAATGTAAATTGGGTTGAGGGCCCCTCAATTGAAATTGAATTGATCTTGAAAATAATCAAACATCATCATTATTTGTAGGTAAAGGAAAATCCGAGATCACATTACAGGAGTGAAGTCTTTTCAGTGCCCACCACAAAGCACTTCCTTACTTGAGTGCTGCAAGTTTTTCTTTTAATTCTTCTGAGGTAATTTCTTCTAGCATGAAAAGCTTTGAAGTAAATGCATCAATATGCCCTAAAAGAAAACATCGAACTTAAAGAAACTCAAGTCACTGTGGTTATAAAATAAAAAAAAACCAAAAAGTTAACTAGTCTCTCTCTATAAAGATGATTTTTACACATTTTTAACAACTATATAGGACTTTGTATTTAAAAGGAGAAATATATCTCACTAGCTATCAAGTAAACCTGAATTTACAATGATATAAAGTACAAATTATGGTATGTATTCATTTTTAAATATTTGCTGAATATAGAATAGTTTACATATGTCCACACTCTCCAAATAGGATGATTGCCTCTAAATCTTAATTTAAGAGCAAAAACTGCTCAGCCATTAGTGCCCATGGTTCCCACTAGAGCTGCATCTCCATGATGCTGAAAAGGGAAGCATGTGCTCACCATGTAAATAAGCAGTTAAAATCAAATCTGTGGACTGATCATGCTCAATAAATCTCAAAGACACATTACTGTAAAACTTAGATTATAAAAATATAGATTATTTTTAATTAAAGCAATCATAAATGTTTCAGTGAGTAAAGCAATCTATTCAAAGTCTTATTTTCTTACATGCCTGATATAAATCTATAATTCACAAAATCTCAAACATTATATTCTTAAAATGACATTTCTACTGTAGAAAGTAATGTGTACGTTTTAAAACAAAATAGGCTGAGATTTGCACTGAGGTGCTGTGATGTACCGAGTGACAGAGGAGCTGCTGAGGCAAATCAATACACGCGGGTCAATAGGAAGGCCATGCTACTACTGCTGCATGAAGGTTAAGACATCACAGTGTAAGAAACAACCACCAGTGCTGAAAATAATGGCTTACATTTATTTATATTTTTAACTCTTAATATTTTATCGTCAAAACAAATTACTTAGAAAGTAGGTATCAGTCATTGGGACTACAAAAATTGCACATAGTTTAATATCTCATTTCCATATCTAGCCTACTTTAATATCATTTGCTTTATGCTCAAAGAAGTTAATTAGAAACATTTTTTATCAGATGTCGTCCCTCAAAGACAACATATCCATCTGTCCCCACAGCCACTTGTTATTTCTTATGCCAACTTCAGTTTCACCTCTCCATTTCTAGTGCTCACTATATATGACATTTCTAATAATAAAGACATTTTAATGGTTTAATAGGTATAAAAAGAGGATATTAAATGCAATAATGTATTTCTTGATGTTTAATAAATAAGCCTTTGAGACTACTAACAGCACTTACTTACCTTTTCTTAAAAAGGTCAACAATGAAAGTACGTAGTATAGTACCCAGCAAATGCAGTCTATCAAAGAACTAACTACAGAGTCCTGCCCTAAGCACTCTGAAAGTCTGCTTCCTCCAGGAGGGAACTCTCAATGCTGGAGCTGTCTAACCTGAGGACTCAAGTGAGTTCTTTCAGTGCCTCAGAGACTTGTCCCCTCAGCCCTTGGGGCACTTGAGCCAGATTTGAGGTGAAAGCTCTCGCCATTGTCCTTCAGCCATAAGCACTCTCTTTTTTAGATCATTTTTAAGATGAGGTACAGTTGGGAGGCACTGCTTTAGACAGCAGAAATTAAGCCTTTATGTTCATACATCATTTATACATAATCCAGACAGAGGTAGTCCTAGCTTTACATGCAGTACAAGTTTGTAAAAACAATCATGCAGGCTGAAATCCTGTATTTTAATGATAAATGGAAAATTTACAATTATTTCACTATTTTCACATGTTTTATCAAAACAAACTCTCCATTAATATAAGTATTTAGAGAAATAAAATATAAAAAAATATGCATTTAGTATACTGCAATTCAAACATCAAAACCAGCATGATCCCACATTTTCCAAAAAGTTTTCGCAAGAGTACTGTGAGCAGTGCTCCCTGCCTTCTTAAACAGCTCTGACAGAGGAGCACCTTCCCACTGTGGCAACTGCCATACTCTTATCTAAGTTAGGAGCAACTTCTATGGTCTATCCAAGAATTCCTTTAATTAAAACCTTAGGCTGGCGTTTCTTCATCCTGATGTCACCACTGTTCTCCTCTATGTCACTAGGTTAATAATCACCAAGGTTCTCTGGCAGCGAGAGTCTCCTGAGAAGTGGCTGGGTCAGCATTCCCAGGCAGCTATTTCTTCTACAGCTCCATTACACTTTCACTTCCAGTATTACCTTTGGTGGGTTTTCTGTTTCTGGGTTGTTTTTCTTTCCTTTATCTTAATCTTTGCTGGCCAATTCCTTGTTTTCATTCTCAAATGGCTGACCATGACACACATTTAATTTCAGTACATGAACTGCTAAGAGGTACACAGTGACCACTCAATACAGACTGAAATAAGAGACAAAGGCAGTTACTGCTCATTTATGTCTGCAATCTACTTCATAACTGTGGACTGAGGAGCTGGCAGTGAAGCTTATATACAATTTCTACTCTTAACATGCTGCCATAACAGAGGTCATGCTAGTAAGAACTGTATAGGGAGGGCTGACTGAACGCCAGCTCAATGATGGCTTTGATAAATATCATGGTACTGGACAGTAGAGAGAGAAGTTGTGATGAGACTACAGGTTTTCTTAAAGGAGTAACTCTTAAGGGTTTAGTGGGCAAGAGACACTGTAATCTAGAGGAGGAGGTGAGCAGATTTATATATAGCAAAGCAAGCAAGCAAACAACAAAAAAAATCCAAATATGCTTATTGCACCTAAAGACTGAGGTATGGTGCTGGCCATATTATCTGAGATTGTGTTAGAAACATAAAGACATAGGTCCCATTCTGGACTACTCAATCAGACACTCTAGAACTAGCACTAGCAATTTTCTTTCTCTCTTTTTTTTTTTTCAAAGATTTATTTATTCATTATGTATACAGTATGCTTGCAGGTCAGAAGAGGGCACCAGATCTCATTATGGATGGTTGTGAGCCACCATGTGGTTGCTGGGAATTGAACTCAGGACCTCTGGAAGAGCAGCCAGTGCTCACAACCACTGAGCCATCTCTCCAGCCCCGTACTAGCAATTTTCAATTTAACCAGCTCTTCAAGTAACTTCACTGAGCATTCTTCTTAAGAGTACTACAACACTTTTAAGCTCCTAATACTGATGGATACTTTGTGTGTGTGTGTGTGTGTGTTTGTGTGTGTGTGTGTGTGTGTGTGTGTGTGTGTGTGTATGGTTTTTTGAGACAGGGTTTCTCTGTGTGACAGCCTTGGCTCTCCTGGAACTCATTTTGTAGACCAATTTGGCCTTGAACTCAGAGACCAGCCTGCCTCTGCCTCCCCAGTGCTGGGATTAAATGTATGTACCACCATGCCCTGCCTGATGAATACTTTTGACACAGCATTTGAAAGCCTGTTCCTAGGTTATGGGTGCAGCTCAGAGTACAGTGCTTACCTACCACTTACAGGTCCTGGGGTCTGTCCCCAGCACTAAGACAACAAGAAAGGGGTGTGCCTGCTCACTCATATCCATGTATATCTATATCAAAACAAAACCCAAGTCCACAACAACTCATGTCCTTCAACAAATAGTGTCACAGGAACCATATGCATTATCCTGTCACACGAAAATGAAAGGTGTATCAACGAGAAGGTCTTTAGGCTAGTTAGACTCAAGGCAATAACTACTTAGGACCTGTAAAAAGTCCTTAGGTGAAGTAGTCATACAACTGATGGCAATTTCATCTGTTAAACAGTACATTAGAAAATGAGTCTGCATCATCTGTTAGGACTTTAAAAAGTTTACTGATAACTTAAAGAAAAATCTTTTCTTCAAGTGGATGTAACTGGCAATTCCTTTTAAATGCTTTACAAGGAAGCTGTGGTGTGAAGGCTTTGTAGGAACGTTAGAATCCTGATTACTGATGGAAGCTACTAAAACAAACATCTGGGTATATATCTGACAATGGAGGAGAGCCCTAAAAACATTAGCCAGGTGTGGCAGCACAGGACCAATTCTGGCACTTGGGAGGTTGAGGCAGGATTGTGAATTTGAGGCCATCCAGATGCTATATAAAAATTAAACACCACCACCCCCTTCAATATTGATTAATCAAAATGGGAGAAATTTTTCCAATAAATAACCACTGTTTCTAAATCAGTCAAGAAAAATACAGAGCACTCACTATACACAGAGCATCATGCTTATGCTTGTACTAGGAATATACAAGGCTCTACCAGGCTCTGACTTTAAACTACCTACTGCCTAGCAGGAAAAAGGGATGGATGGCCTAAGAAAGAACAATAATGTAGGAAGTAACAAACAAGTAAAGACAACACATTTAGAGAGCCAAAGAAGGAAAAGACGGGGGGGGGAGATGGGAGCTGGTAGGGCAGACAGATCAATACTGTATTGAACTGTATTGGTGTAGAGTCCAAGACAAGGGATGACAGAGATGTTCAGCATGTAGCATTCCCATGTGAAAGAACAGCATGAACAATAAGAGCAAGAAACTTGTCACGTGAAGCATGTTAACTATTCAAGAACCCTGGCAACGTCATTCAAAGCCCTGCTATTTCCCTCCTGTTCAAAACTTCAAAACCAAAATAAATCAAACGCTGTTTCAAGATGAGATTTCTGAGATAATGTCATTATAATTCTAAGAAAATTACAAAATACGTGCAAATCAATTTAATAGCTAACCAATACTCCCTGTCACTATTTAACTACAGAGTCAGCATAATCAGAGAATGGAAAACAAAAAAGGACAAAATGGAAATATGTGCATACAGCTGAATTTAAAGGTAAATATTTAAAGGGAATTACAAAGGGGAAGAGGACTCCTAGAGACTCACCAACATAAAACGAGCAGTTGGAATGCAATAAACTTTCAGTCCAGAAGCGACAGAGCTCGCTTTCAGTCAGAGCTTCAACTCCATAACAACCTTGATATTCTACTTTTGGTAGCACGTAAACTGGAAATTGCTGTAATGCAAAATTGCATTTTGTCAAAGCTCCAGATCTAATCTCCACACATACTCCATGGTACACAAGTGCCCACAGACCACACATATATACAATAAATCAAAACCCAAACAAAAACAAAATTTACTACTCATAGAAAATATATTTGCCTATATAGCCAGCAGTTTTCAAATGCTTACAGGGAATTTCATTTCATTTATTTTGTATAGTGTAGGATTTGGACAGGAAGATATGAATACATTTGCCTCTAAGGGGTAGATTCAGAAAACGGAGGATGGATAAGGGATCCCTCACTACCACCCTCATCTCCAACACAGACAGACAAACTCCCCACATACTGTAACATGTTTCCTCTCTGCCAGGGAATGTGATTCACAAGCAGACTCCTTGGGACTCCAGCACATGCAATTGTTCTTAGGTCAAGAGTTAAATGCTAGAAGGCAGTGACTAACACACACTAATACTTTTTAGAAGAAAAGAAAAAGGTTTTCTTCCTAAGAATGAACATTAATACATGCTAGAACAACTGTGGATGTTACTATCATCACAACACAGAGGCTTAATTCCAAGCACTTAGCATGTGACACTGTATCCATTTAGCGCTTACTGGTCAGGATATCAAGCAGGTGGAGCAAAATGACTACCCATCCCCGTTACTAGTCTAAGGGTGGATGTGCAAGCAAGTACCTACTTGTGGAATACTGTAGCAACACATTATTGTCTGCCAGTGAAAACTCAATTCTTTCTGGTGGTGCTGGACTTTAAACCCAGGGTCACGTGCATGTTACACAAGTGCTCTATCACTGAGCTCTGATACATCCCCAGCCTAAAAATTCTACTCTCAACAGGATTCTCCATTCCCTGCTACAGAAGACACAAGGTTTACAGAACCTACTCAAATAACACGGCTAATTAGCACTTTAAAATTAAAATACGGCGCTGTCTTTCACAGGTTTAAAAACATTTTATCATTGTTTTCCAGTTTCTGGCTTTTCTAAAGTGGTTTAGTGGCTTTGGTATACCAGTGATGCTAAGAACAATTCAAACACAGTATTTCAGTCAACAGCACATGGAATGGTGTGGTTTGTATGACAATTTTTGATTTCTGTAAGATGTTGGTTAACTCCTAAAGGTAATATTGCCTATAATGTAATACATATAATAATCTGGTGACCCTGCTAAAATATAGATTCAAGTGGTGCCTAAGATTCTGCATTTTTAAGAGGCTGTGGTTGTATGACCACAAAGTGGCTTCTAATTAAAAAATAAATAAATAAATAAATAAATAAATAAATAAAAATTGTGAATGGATTAAAATCATTGTACCATATAACAGTTTCTTAGCAAATGATAATATGATTTAGCCTCTGAACTTTAAAGCAAATAGAAGCTAGAGACAAAATTTAAAGGTCTAGAGTGTTGAGAAATTTGGGCCAGTGAGATGGCTCAGCAGATAGACTGTTTGCTACAAAACCTGACAACCTGAATACATATAAAATATAGGAGAGAACAGATTCTAGCATGTTGTCCTCTGATCTGCACCCATGTTTCATGGCACATAAGTGCTCAAATACCATTTACATATGCACAATAAATCAAAACCCAAACAAAAACCTTAAGCCTCATGTCAGAGAGCTAAGAAATATGTTCAGTGACACAGTTTATGGCAGAAATGGAAAAGAACAGGTGATGCAAGAGAAGATGAACATCTCTCTATCTTAAATGGATTACAGCATTATAGATGCATGGAAAGTATACTCAAGACACAGATAATTTTGTTTTTTTAAGGGGAGTGTGCTTTTCTTTGATATAAAACTAAGTATTGAATTTGACTTGATTTCTGTATGTATTCTACTGCCATCTCCAGGAAGCCACAGGAATGGCTTCAATGTTTTCTCTTTCCTTCGTATCAACAATTGAAGTGTAAATCACAATCAAGATTTGTGATCTGAAAGTTTCTCATTTCCCTGGAAGGGTGGCTGTAGTCTGTGCTGCCCAAGTGAAAGCTTTTCTTTTTTTCTGTTTGCATAAACCTCTCAAACCCTTATGTACTTTCATAAACAAATAATTCATAGCTAGAATCTTCTCTTTAGCACCACTGAGTAACTTCTATTCTTCCTAATATATTGCACCATTAAGCAGTGTTTTTTGTTGTTGTTGTTTTGGGTTTTTTTTAAACACCTATAATGCAAACATAAAATTTGAGCAACTGGATGTAAAACTGTTAACCATTGTAAAATGCTGCACTTGGGACAGTCAAGAGCTAGTAGCCATGCCGTGGTTAGCTGGCCTGGATTTCATAGTTCTGTACAGAACTGGTAAGCTCTTCACTTCTGTTCTCTCAAACTGGCTGCTGGTTTAAGTTCTCTTCTAACAGGCAGCTTTGTTGACTTTTTTGGGGTGGGGGATGGTAGTGGTGGTAGTAAGGGAGGTTTAGCCTTTTTGAGACAGGGCTTACTCTGTAACTCAGGCTGGCCTGGAACTTACTATGTAGAGCAGCTGGCCTCAACTTCTGACAATCCTCCTGTCACAGCCTCCCAAGTGCTGGGATTATTATTAAGCCGAGTTTTGTTGAAGAAGTAAGATATTAATAACAACATAAACTGAAGAGTTAAAGAAAAATCAGAGATGATATTCTTGAAAACCAGGAGTCAGACTTGCAAACCTGAAAACTTTGAACAAGTTGTTGGCTGTTAGGGAGGAAATATTGCAAGGATACATTCTGAAATGACAGTATTTTTCAAACTAGCGTGGATACTAACTTCCCTCTAAAGTTCCTTACAAAGATCCCTAGCCTCTCAACCCCTCAAATTTTCTCACCTATTTACTGAGTTTCTATGGTGCTAACACTTGAGGAAAAGAGAAAAACTGGGCATAAATCCAAGGGGCATACATTAAAGTATGGGAATTATACCATATGTACTAAACTACCACACATAACAACAGAAGCAAGGGACAAGCACTCCTTGAAAACTTTCAAGTTTTACTCTTGACCGTCAGAAATATAAGACTTTTATTTAGATGTTCTTTGGGGCTCAATTGTTTTGACAACTTGATGAATAATTTTCTCCTAGATGGTTATAGCTTGGTACTTATAAATTTCCCTTTTTGAGTGAATGACAATTTTCCTAACCAAGTTGTCTTGGTCAAGAATTAAACTGGTGTCCAAAACTTCCCTGGGCTATTTTTAGTTAAGAGATACTGACATCAACAACTGTTGAGTATATAAATGAAAAGAAAAAGAAAAAGTGGTATGGGCACAGGGTGGAATGTGAAAGAAATGAAGCTGACTACAAAAAATGAGAGCACAAGTAAGTATAGAAATAAAACTCAAAAACAAAAACAAAACAAATAACAAAAAATGGGAATGGAGAGATGGATGGTTCAGTAGTTAAGAGCACTGGCTGCTGCTCTTCCAGAGCATCTGGGTTTGATTCCCAGCATCCATATGGTAGCTCACAAATGTCTATAACTCTAGTTCCAAGGGACCCAACTCCCTCTTTTGGCATCTATGGGCACTAGGCACACAGATGTGGCACACAGACATACAAGCAGGGAAAACACTCGTGCACATAAAGAAAAGAACACAATTTAAGAGGTTCTCTTGGCCAGGTGAAATGGTTCTGTGGTTCAGGTGCTTCCCACCAAGCCCCATGACCTGAGCTCTGTCCTAGGAACCCACATAGTAGAAGAAAAGAACCAAAGAGGAGAGCTGTCGTCTGACTTCTATACTTCCATGAACACATGTATGTGAATACATGTTTGTGTGTGTGCATGTGCGCACATGCAAGTGTGCAACATACACATACACACACCCCTCTCTCTCTCTCTCTCTCTCTCTCTCTCTCTCTCTCTCTCTCTCTCTGTCAATAAATAGGAGTTTCAAAAAAAGAATCCTTTTAAGAAACAATAAAAGACAAGTCAGTACCTCTTCGCAATCAGCTAAAACAAAAGCTTCTCTTTATTTGCCAATCTCTAGAAGTCACATGAAAGAGCGCCAAGTCTTCTAAAAGAGAAGCTCAGTCGCAGAAAGGCCAGTGGGAAAACTGTAACAATCATTTGCTTCTTTTGCCCCAAGAGGGGCCACAGGGGAAGACAGCAGAGCCTTGCACCCCAGCAGCCCTGAAACTCCAGGGCTCTTTTAAAGCTTCTGTTTCTAAAAGACATTGAGGTTGAGAAATGTCTCAGGGTAAAGAAAGGGCTCAGAGGTGACAAAGAAGTACAAAGTCACACATACACAGGCTAGACACAGTCTGGTCAAGTCTTGACACAGTCTGGTCAAGTCTTGACACAGTCTGGTCAAATCAATCTGCATGTTTTTCCCAGAGTTCACATGGACTAGTCAAAGTGGTTACCAGCATTTATATGATGGTATGTGTTTCTTATCAAAACTGATTTCAACATCTTACTAAAAGAAGTTTACCCAGAAAAACTATGGGAGTGATCAATAAGTTAAAGTCAAATTTCGTTAGAACACCATGTCCAATATTTGGGATTATCCCTTACACTCCCACATCACAACTTCTCAGGTAACTTACTCTTCTGATCTTCTTCCGTTTTCTGGACCGTGGTCTTGTCTCTATCCTCTGGACACTGCACCGCACAAGTAACAGCAGGTCTTGCAGGCTGAACAACTTGTAGACAAAATTTCCTTCTTGAGGAGCTATATATTCTGATGTATCTTCAACATAGTCTTGGAGTTCATATGGCAATCCTTTAAAAACATTCCTCATTACCATTTAAAAATATGCTACCCCTTTATGTACTGTAATCTGGAATACAACAACTCAGTAACTCTCTTTGTGACTGTCAATTCTCCACCTTGGACCAAATTTACTTACTGACATTGCAGCAGAGAGCTGCAACCAGAGTTTTAAAGTTCTCTTACTTTTCACAAATATCTCCATGAGCACTATGCAAACCATGCATCACAGTGATAAGTAGCAAGAAGAAAGAACTTAAAAGGTCCTGATATTCCCAAGTAAGGCAGACTGAGGAGCATTGGCACACTCATTCTGCAGTCTACTACAGAGGGTACAGAAGGTGTGGATAGGCTAATGTTTATAATCCCCTCCATCAGCGTAGTAGCCTTTCCATGTACATACTGGGTAAACAGGGTATAGCACATATACAAAGATACAAAGAGGACACAGTGGGAGCAGAAATAATGATTGACAGACTGAAATGTCAGTGACTAGGTAAAAATTACAAAATGGGTTATAATAGTATGAAAGAAGGGAGAAAAGCTAAGGAAAAGGAACAAACGAGTAAGTTCTTGATATTCACTTACGTCCTTTAGGCTTCTGAAATGCAGAAGTCCAACTAGATTTTGGCCAGCTTGAGGCATCTGAAGTAACGGAGGGTTGCTCAGAGGCAGATGGCTGTTTAGATTCTTCTAAATTAATCAAGGGCAACTCAGGCACTTTCCTGGAAACTGGCTTTAAAAGCTCATCCTGCATTTTTAGAATTTCTCCAACTGGATCAAATTTTTTATAGACTCTTTTGATAGGTTTCTTTAAAACACAAGATTCTTCAGAAACAGTAGTAGTGGTTTGGTTTCCCACAGAAGTCTGTGCTGAAGAATTTGGACTTGCTGGTCTAGACCCCACGTCAGCTGTCTTTCCATCACTATTACTTTTACTCTCTGTATCAATGATTAAACAGTCCTCATCTGTATCACTCCCGCAGGAAATCCCTTTCTCAGTTTTAGTCATTTCTGATTCAGTAGCTGTTTTGTTGGCATTGTCTGCGTTCCCCTGAACACCTGGTCCTTCATCATTGGTATACAGCATATCTACATCAATTTCCTTAGAGATCCCATCAGATGTTTTGTGGGGTTCATTATCTTGTGTCAAAGATTTTGCACTGCGAACCTCTTCACCACATGATTCAAGTCCCTGATCATCTTTATTTTTGAACTCTTTAGGACCATTTTCCACACCAGAGAAGAGCTGTTTCTCCTTCTGTAATTGTTTCATTAGAATCTGACATAGGCTTCTAGAATCATTAGTAATGCTTGGTGTAGGTGGTGCCACAGGTGTAGGTGGTGCCACAGGTGTAGGTGGTGCCACAGGTGTAGGTGGTGCCACAGGTGCAGGTGGTGCCACAGGTGCAGGTGGTGCCACAGGTACAGGTGGTGCCACAGGTGCAGTTGCTACTTTGGAGGCTGTGTGGACATCTGTCAAGATGGGTACAGGGGAGTCACTTTCTGAACTTGGTGACCTGGATGGACTAGTGGTAGTTACTCCAAAGGTTTCAAGTTCTGTGACATCATCATCAAAATCCAGATCCAAATTTTCCAGAGTCTCAATTTTTCGGCACTCATTAGTTTCAGTGGATATCTTGGAAGAAAATATATTGGCAAATTATTAGGGAAAAGTGAAGGCCATAACTACCTAACTCTTAGTGCTCTTATCCCTAAGATAGTTTTTTTTTGTTTGTTTGTTTTGTTTTGTTTTTGAGACAGGGTTTCTCTGTGTAGCTTTGGAGCCTTTCTTGGAACTCATACTGTATACCAGAACTCACAGAGATCCTGCCTCTGCCTCCCAAGTGCTGAGATTAAAGGTGTGTGCCACCACCGCCAGGCAGTTCATGTTTTTAAAAGTAGAAAGATGAAGCTAGGGAGATGGCTCAGTGAGTAAAGGATTTCTGTGAAAGCATACAACCTGAGTCTGGATCTCCAGCACCCAAGTAAAAGCCAGACATAGTGTCATAGTAAAAGCCAGACAATGTGTGCCAGCAATTCCAGTGTTATGGGAGGAGACAGGAGTACAGTGGAGGAAGATCCCAGGGACTTTCTAGCCAGCCAGTATAGCTGAAAAAGTTAAGTCTCAGGGTCAGTGAGAGATCATACCTTAAAAACTAAGGTGGAGAGTGATAAAGAAAGACACTAGATGTTGACCTCTGGCCTCTACATGAGTACACATACACATACATGTCCCTCCTATCTCCATGTACGTGTTCACAGAAACACAGCAGAAAGAAAAGTCTGTAAAATGTACACAACTTACATGCAAGTATTTAACTGTAAGACGAATTGCTAAACGGTCATATTAGTAAAAAACCCAGAGCCAGATACTGGGGTAAAAACTGAGAGATCAGGGAAGCAGGAAGAAGCCACCACGTTCTTACCACTAGAAATCCTCAGCCAAAAAGAACCACGTCTATATGCTTTCTGTCCCTGCCATCTCACTACTTCTTTCTGCCCAGCTACATCACTTCCTCTTTTTGCCCAGCTCTGTCACTTCCTGTCAGTCTGTACAGACCTTCAGACCTCTATGGTTAACTAGTGTTGGAATTTAAAGGTGTGTACCACCACGCCTGGCTCTGTTTCCAGCGTGGCCTTAAACTCACAGAGATCCAGATGAATCTCTGCCTCCTGAAAGCTAGGATTAAGGGTGTGTGCAACCACTACCTGACCTCTAAGTTTAATATAGTGGCTGGCTTTTTGCTCTGATAAGCTTTCTTGATGTGCACAAATAAAATATCACCACATTTAATTTTGTATTCCCCTTGAAAATGTTCATATAGATACATGTGTCAAGGTGTAACAGCACAGGAAACTGAATTGTGAAATGCCAGAACCAAAGAGGAATATTCACAAATGAGAAAACAGACAAGACCATCAAGAAGAGATGTAGGATCCAACAGCAAAAGATGTTCATGCATACCCACTTCATAAATTCTGGGAGAGAACCTTGAACTTAGCTGACCAGGAGGACAGTTTCTTTACTGCTGTAAGGCTAGGGTTTCCCTAATATCAATCAGTGACACTTTGTATATCCACTCAGGGTTAAAATACTATAAGGCAAAATTGGACAGGAAGTAGCTCTTGGTATTCTGGGACATGAAGTCATTGAAGTTGTAGTCTTTATGTACTATTTTGGTAATAGAAGAACTACAAATAGCTTTCAATTATTCAAGAATAATCTACCCTCTGGTCAGCACCAGAGATCTCTCCTCAATATGGAAGAACTCTTCATTTTTAAAATCAACTAATTAATTTTAAGTTTTTTTTCAAGGAGGTCCACATAGTCCAAGCCTTGAATTTCTTTCTTTCTTTTCTTCTTCTTCTTCTTTTTTTTTTTTTTTGTTTTGTTTTTTGAGACAGGGTTTCTCTGTGCAGTTTTGGAGCCTGTCCTGGAACTTGCTCTGTAAACCAGGCTGGCCTTGAACTCATAGAGATCTACCTGCCTCTGCCTCCCGAATGTTGAGTGCTGGGATTAAAGACATGTGCCACCACCGCCTGGTGCCTTGAATTTCTTATGGAGCACAGGCTGACCCTGAACTCCTAAACTTCCTGCCTCCATAAATGCTGGGATTACAAGTATGCCATACCACTTTCAGCTTTTTATTTTACTGTGTGTGGTACTAAAGACCGAACCTAGGGCTACTTGCATAGTAAGCAATTACTCTACTACTGAGCTGTATTTCCAGCCCTGGCAGAGTGAGTACTTTACCTTCATAAATGCCATGAAAACTTGACTATAAACTAAGTACACACCAGACTTTTCGGGTAGGATTAGAGAGTAAGTCTGGCAGCAATTAAGCAATAAGACTGGTCTACAGAAACTACCTGATCTCTCGAACCTCACACCCAGTATTTCTAAAACAGGAATAATAAGGTTACTTTCGGATTTGTTCTAAAGACCAAATGGGAAATTATCTGCAAGGATTTTCTTGACATTGTGCTGGCACATAGTGAGCCGCCTCTCAACACACGGCAGCTCTATCTAAATGAACAAATCCAGCACAAAGGGAGACTATACGCCACCACCAGCAGGGCGGTCCACACAGCAAGGTTAAAACATTACTGGACACAGCACCAAGAAATAGAGAAAGCTGGAGCAGAGGCAATGCTAGCAGAGTTCAGGGTAAGAGAAAAGGAGAAAAGGACGCGAACGTAACAGCAACATCGCCATGACACCACTCTCCCCTCAGATCCATTTCTTCACGTTGTTGCTGGAGTCTTAGGAGACGCCAATTATCTCAGAACCGTCCTACTCTAAACACAAGGCTGAGAGAGTTAGGCTGAAAATCTCGGAGATGGGTTCCTTCCATGTCACCCTTACTCACAGCTCGATGGGGTGAAAGGCCTTCTGGGAAACTGAACTCTGCCTTGTTCCCCTCATCCTGTGATACGGCCAAAGCACAGGCTTTTTTGGTTATCTCTTCAGAACTGGTAAATAGCAAGAAAAGCAGAAATGACCCTAAATGGTGGCTTGCCTAGATGTCTGCATCCCTTCTCGCTCAGCTTTGTAAAGCCTTATTATCTTTTTTTTTTTTTTTTTTTTTT